ACACACACACACACACACACACACACACACACACACACACACACATAATGGCGGTATTGTGTGATGAGCATGGCCCCTCCGGTGTGGATGATCTTAAGTGACCCAGCACAACACCAAAGCACCTGCCATGCATCGTCCCGAACGCAACTCAGATTAAAAGTGATTGCTTTGGTGCGTGAGGCTGTTCCAGTAATCAGAGTACCAATCTATTCTTCTTCAGCAGCATGTTGTCACGGGCTGCCTATGCACCTCTAAGGCCTTCTCTCCTCAAACTGGCTCTGGACGTGAATCATTACAAATGATCTGCCCCGGAAAATGAGAAGGAAGAGGGCTTGGGAAGGATGCGGCAATGGGGATTGCGATGGTTTTGTTGTCACAGGCTTAGTCATGTTGGCTGTAAGAAAACGGAGTCTGTCATGGTCCATCCCAATCTTGGGTGGAGATGTTACATTCTTGCTACGGCAAGCGCAAATTTACAAGTTGTGGTTTTTAGTATGTAGAATAGCATCACACTAATGGAAATTCAGACAGAAAATTAGCAGGGAAGTGAATTCCACCACCAAAGTGAGGTCAGTTTGCCCAGATAAATCCATTAAAAAAAAAAAAAAGCGGTGTGCGTGATTGGAAATACTCTTTTTGCGGTGATGAGCAGGTTAATTGCCCATTTTGTTTATCTTCACAAACACGCCTGAAACCAATCCTCCCTCGATGCGCATTCGGATAACTAAAAACAAAGCAACAATGGATTGTTTTGGCAGGTTTGCAAATAAAGAAGTTGCAAGCTCGTAACACGGCCCCTGAAAAAAAAAAAAAAGAGAAAAGCTGCTTTCAGATCATGAGTGGCAGCCTTCCTTGTCAACCAGGGCTAACTTGAAAGCGATTCCATCATCGGCATCGCAACGCGGCCGAAGCCTCGCCCGCGGCGCACGGCCCATCACGGCTGAGCAACATGCCATCGGCTGCTCACCTCAAAGGCATTTCAGCGGCATCTTTTCAGAAGATCCAGATGTCACTGGCTTCTTAATAACCTTCTAGAGGCTAGTTGTGGTCACTGTAGCAATTACCTTTATGTCAGGCCTTAAAAGATACGCCTACCCACGGGACAAGCAGAGCCAGTCGGTTCGGTTGCGCTCATTACAGATTAATGTCGAGGCTGATCCAGCCTCCGTATTCGGCAGGGCGCGGGGCAGAATTCAAGTTTCAACAAAATCTCTTGACATACCGTACCTGATTTGATGAAATAGGCATTAAAGTGTGAATCATGTGGAACTAACTCCACGTTCATGCAGTCTGTCTTCTTCAAATCACCCTCACAGCAAAAGCACATGTACCGAACAATGTCTTGCCATTACATCTGTGATCAGTTGTCATTTTCTGGCATGTGCGGTGTGTGCGGCCGCACAGAGCGGCAGTTGACTGCTTTAAGATATGGTTTTTCTGTTGCGTAATGTCACCGTGTGTGCATGATTGGCATTTGTATGGGCAATTTGCGCCCCAGTGTGGAAACGCCGTCTGTTAGCACTGTTCTGAGAGATGCATAGCAACATATCATCTCTCAAGTGCAACTGTGACATTGAATAAATGTCAAGGCTGGTTACCCAGGTTGTTATTGCTGTTTATCTTTTAATCATCGATATCTCTCATAGAATGTGAAAAAAAAAGATTTTGCTTCAAAAAAAGTCCAATCGAATTGTTGATGTAAAAACAAAGTAGTCACACTGGCAATAACATTTTTGCATGACGGTTCTTTCAGGGTTTTTATTCAGTGGTGCGATGCAAGAATCACGTGTGTTTTTTTTTTTCTGAGAATAATATTTAACTATCCAAACTCTGGATTTTTCAAGTTGCAGTACCCTTTTTTTGTGCTACTAAATTCGCACCCGAATAGGCTCAGTGTGTGTTTCTTTCACTGGCACCAACCTCGAATGCATCTCTGTGCATCCACTATTAAAACACATTTTCACAAATTGGATGATTAACGGGAGTGATGTATAAGCTACGCTTTCCTGTGCGTATAAGCCTTGAGATAATTTTAAGATGAAAAATAACATTAATAGATGTTTACATTTAGTAACTTCATTACATTACTAATGGAAAGTGGACCTGATCATGTTATACAAAATGCAAATAAAACGTACTCCTGTATATACAAAGTGGTACAACAACAAAAAAATGCTACCTGTTTTGCCATATTGTCAAAAGGCAGGCAGAAGGTTCCACACTAACTAAGATGCAGATATACATTTTAAGGCAATTATACATATAGAGTGCTGGCCATGTATTAATTATAGCACAATTCCTGTCTTCTTGTGTACCTTCATAAACATAGTTGCACTTTTCTGCGGTGACACCCAATCGCATTGTTGATATATGATGTGTAATTATTTGTTCGTCACTTCGGAGTTAACTCAGGAGTGTTAATTATGCATGATTATAGTAAATGAGTGTGCCAGGCGTCGTCAGGCTTGAGCGTGTGTCGCAGACATTGGCAATATTTACCACTCGTCTTTGCCTTGCGCTGTTCAAATGAGTTCTACTGTTCTCAAATTCCATGAGGCTGCACTTATTACCATTATAATGTCGCATTTCAAGTCGCCCTGAAACGCCTCGAGCACCGTAGCACAGATTAAGAAATCTTAATTAAGCTTTTTGTAGATTCTCCTTCATAAGACCTTGCCTCATATTTTCGTTGTTTTGTTGTACAAAAAGTGATTTTTTTTCTTCTTCTTTTTTTCCTCCCCCTCTCTCTCATGGCTGAGTTTCTAAGACATCACTTGTGCCTAAATGAGCGAGATGTGTGTGTGCGAGTGCGTGCGTTGTCGCAGAGTGACAGTGAGAGAGCGGCAACGTGAAGCTTAAGACATCAGTGAAGGATTTCAGGTTCTCCGTGCTTCATCTGTCTCGGCGCATTTAAGTAGATATGTCCTCTCTTCATCCCCGTGTTGCCACTGCAATTTCCCTCATTGCTCATCATACTTAAACTTCTCCTCTCATTTGCATTATAAACCTCATACAAAGCTCACCTGAGAGGAAGAGAACATTTGGTTACCCCATTAGAGCTCACTGGCTCATGGTTGTAACCACACATTATGAGTTACTACAGTGGACAGCTTATCATGTTATCAAGTTACAGCTTATCGTTATTGGTGCATGGAAGGGTTAATAAAAAGCTATTACTAACAACTTCGGAAAAGAAAAAAAGTTGTCAGAAAAATAAATACTCAAGCCAAGTACCTGAAAAATCTACTGAGTGATATATTTGTAATGTCTTAACTTCCCATTAGTGATAAACAGTCAGAGTTAAAATGCTGCAATGTATAATGTGGAATGGAAGGTTTTTATGTAACTCCTAGCAGACAGACCTAGTTTGGGAGTTCAGTACACATGTGCTTCACTTAGGCTTAGAGCAAAATGGTAATTACTCTGGAAGTAGCGCACAGCAGCTCAGTGAGAGTTTAAACAGCCGCTGCTCTCAATGCTTTCAACATCTGCTTCTTGCAGTGATCCCCGCAACCGGGCCTGGGGAAAGCCGGCGCTAATTACTAATAAAACTAGCTAATCTTATTGCGGTGAATTATTAACGCTTTATCTGAAGTGGACCAGGAATCGCTCCTGAGGCTAAACAGCTTTGAGGCACAAGGAGGATCATAGTTCAGTGCCGCATCTGGATTAGCACTTAGCACGTACTTAACTAGATGAAGGGCTTGTTTTATTGTTGGCCACCGTCACATGTCAAGGTTCACAGGGCACGCAGCATCTGAGAATTTCAGTTCTGGTTTCCGACCGAGTGGCATGTTGAGAAGATTTTACTTGTCTTAGCTACTTGACACGTACTTACAATACATTTAGTAAAGTAATATCATACGAGAGGGAGTGATAATGTCCTGTTTATCACAGCAGCTGTGATACAGTTGTGGTGGCTGAGTGCTGAAAACAATCAGAGCTGTGATATATACACTTACACTACAACATCTCAACCTACAGTGTGATACGGCTTTTAAACAACAGCATACAAGCGCCTTTTCGCTGGCGTCGAGCGGAATACTCATTCCACCAAAATCAGCACTTTTCAGGCAACCCACAAACCAACTTGTTTGTTCAACCATTATCTTTGCCTCAGTGGTGTTAGCCACAGAGTTAGCCGTTAGCATGACAATCTAACTAAATCAAAGCATTACCCAGTACGCTAGAAAGGGTATAGTCAAGTCAGCTGGCTTCATTTTGGATTTCTCGACTACTTTGTGTAACTTTTGTTTGTGGTGGACAACCAACTAAATTATTGAATAGCGGGAGAAGTACTAGATTTTTAAAAAAATAAAACCGTGAAAGAAGCCTCATTTGCTTCATTTTTCAGTCAGTGGTGACTGTCCTGTTAGCATGTCATGCTAAGGACTAACTCAACAGCCAACTCTACAGATTACTGCAAGATGTGTTAGCAGCGCAGAATAACTGAATAGCTAAACAAATCATAATTTGTTGTCCTTGTAGTTTTTTTTTAACAGTTCTATAGGTGCTATTTATTAGTTAATCAGTATCGCTTAGTTATGAGTACTATACTGAAAAAAATCAAGATATGATTATATGAGCCACAGCTATAGCTTCCTCAAGCATCTTCAAAACACATTCAAAATAAATCTTGCTCTGACGACTGGCAGAAAAATGTTGGTGCTCAGACACAAATGAGGAATATTACTTCTACAAGTCAGTTGTCTTGCTGAACACTGATACTGTAATAGTCACTTTTCATTGAGGATAAATAATATATGTCATTAAGTGTCGTTAAAACCGCCACTATCGATACTAATGTTCACATGTCAATGGTGTTTTCCATGATATGTTAGCATTTGTTAGCTACTGGGCTATTCTAAAGCCAACAATTTTTGGTTGTTTTAAATAACCAATATGTCATTCTCTGATAATGTTTAGGTTCACACCAAATGAATGGTCATTTGCATAATTGTTCATTAGCGCCTCTTATGTGTGTTTTGTTTTCTCCAAAGGCCGCATGCAGCAAAGTACGCGGGGGAGCCACGGAGTTGATGGAGTGGGGGGACAGCACACACAAACTCTCGACTCCCACGGGCGCCAGTCCTCGGATCCTCAACCCCTTGCGTTTGTTCGCCAGGGCCTCCCCTGGGTTCAAGAGCGACATCAGGGAAATGTCCTACATCCAGAACATGGAGGACTTCTGGGACTGGTTATCTAACCAGACAGATGTTCAGGATCCGCAAGCCAGAACTAAACGGAGGCCCATTGTCAAGACCGGCAAGTTCAAAAAGATGTTCGGGTGGGGCGACTTCCACTCCAACATCAAAACGGTCAAACTCAACCTGCTGATCACGGGGAAGATCGTGGACCACGGCAACGGCACCTTCAGCGTTTACTTCCGCCACAACTCCACGGGCCTGGGCAATGTGTCGGTGAGCCTGGTGCCACCCTCCAAGGTGGTGGAGTTCGAGGTGGCCCAGCAGTCCACGTTGGAGACCAAAGACACCAAGTCCTTCAACTGCCGCATTGAGTATGAGAAGACGGACCGCAACAAGAAGACGGCGCTGTGCAGCTTCGACCCGTCCAAGGTTTGCTATCAGGAGCAGACACAGAGTCACGTATCCTGGCTCTGCTCCAAGCCCTTCAAGGTCATATGCATCTATATCGCCTTCTACAGCGTGGACTATAAACTTGTGCAGAAGGTCTGCCCTGACTACAACTACCACAGTGACACGCCGTATTCCTCCACGGGATAGTGTGTGTATGGGTGAATGTGTGAGGGCGTGCACCTTTTGTTTGACCTTCAAATCATGCTTTTGTCAGCCTCTAAGGCAGAGGTGTCCAAACATTTTCCTCTGAGGGCCGCACACACAAATACGCGAGGGCGCAGCCACCCCTGTGAAAATCTTCAACTTTGATTTATCAAACATGCTAAAACCAATCTATCAGGCAATTAAATACTTATTTTTTAAAACTGCTGCACTTCAACTTTCTGTTGAAGACCCTGTAAACTGAATTCAAAGATTTGTAGGACAGAAATGGCGCAGAGTCCCTCCACGACTACTAAATCAGAATTTGAATACCTTTGTTTGCATCAGTGGTTGTCAATTGCAAATTAGTGTCATAGGAAAAATGTAAACCCTGAATAGACAAGAGACCATGACAAACCTTTGAGAGGTGAGTTATTAAAGTCTTATTGACTTGCATGAAAGGAGACAGTTCGACTGCAAGCAGGCTAATGGATGCAAAGACGTCCCCAACTATTTTTTAAGTACAGTCGAACACTATCCAGTTAGATAGCGAGCTATGCTTCCACCCTGAAAATGCATCTACAACAATTTACAGACTAACATAGTGTCATTAGCAAAATTTCTCCTGAAGAAGTGAATCCACCAGCCGAGAGAAGCCATGGAACCTTGTTAGCTAGTAAGTGGTGAACGCTTCTTGTTACTATGTTATTATTTTTATTTATTTATTTATTTTTTATTGATGAATGGATGGCGGGCAATAGTTTGGACACCCCTGGTCTGAGCTCTTCATCCTCCTCTACACTCCTAAAGAGGTGCAACTACAAAAACTCGTATGAATTGTACAGACAACTTCAACATGCTCTCTCATGTGAATTGAAGCCCCTGTTTTCACCATCCATTCATTTTCTGTAGAATACAGTGATTATCGTAAGTAATTAAGAACATTTCATTTTTCTGGCACTTTTCAGAGAGATCACTCACAAAGTGATGTCATCGTTAAATACAGGAATACAAAATAAAATCAAATAAATTAGCATTCTGGTATTCGATTCCATTCTCAGTTTGCGGGTGAGCTGCCTATCCCAGCTAAATTTGGGCAAGAGGCAGGGTCAAGCCTGAACTGCCTGCCTTCCTTGTCGCATAGCAATTTTATTTATTTATTTTTTGTTGAGGGGTGAAGAGGGATATGTAAAAATGACAGCTTTTATACCGTAACATTTGACAGCAATCTTTTATTGGGGTACAATTCAGTAGTCCAGGGTGGAGCTGAACCAATGGTGGGCCATGCATTTGGTACCTTCAGTGGGCACTACTGCCACGACCACGCTGCGTTTAGAGTAAGCATCATTAAAGAAAAAAAACCCACACAGAATATAAAAGCACACATCTATTGCTGGTTAAATCATCTGCAACAGTTCAGAAGCGATATTTGATAACATGACAAAAACATTTTAAGTTTAAACCACTCACCAGAGATGCCGATCACTAAATGTCTTTGTCCAGATTGCAATCGATGTGTTTTGTTTGCCAAAGTTGTTCCTTCAACACATTTACGGGTATTGATATGAACATTCATGAACATTTGACATAGCGTACCATTTCGACTGTTTTCATACAGCTTGGTTGCCACTTCACTTCATCTGCATCCACCCCGACTGACACTGAAAGCAGTGCTATACCGCAACTGGCAAGAGCGTCTGGCTCTCACGGTCGTTAGTTTGCACGCATTCAGTGTCTCTGTGAAAAAAGACAAAACCTTTGGTACTTTTGATTTTTAAAAAAAAACAGTTTTCCCCTCGCCTTCTCCTATTCTCCACTCCAATTGGGTAACTGAGAGGAAATTGCATGAGAAGGGCACTTTGTAAAGCGCAGCTAATTGGGACGTTGTCCAGATGTTACGTTAAAGGCTAGGTCACAGGCGGGTTGGAGGGTGCGTACCACACTTCCAACATTGTCAAACTACACTTCGGGAATGAAAATGTAACATAATGTAATGTAACATTTATCACGAGGTCTTATTATTTTAGATTCGTATTAGTTCGAGACAGCTGTTTAGCACAAAAGAGTTGTGAATAATAGACTCACCCTTGACAGCCGATGTGCAATCCTTCTCTCTTATCAAGGCGTTTATTGATGGTTTCAGGCTAATATTAAGCGCGACTCACAAAAAGAGTCCAGAGGAATCATTAATCATTAGCATATGCCTGCTTGCTAAATATGTAGTTGCGCGCTCATCCTTCACCGTCATCATCATTACGGTGCACTACAGGCAGTATGTTTGCCGGATGAACGTGAAGGCATCGTGCTGCATTGAAGTGTGAGTGTGACACACAATTATCAACGCTTGACACGTTCTCCGAACAGGCTTCCTTTCATTAACTTTAAATGTGTGGGCGAAAAAATATGAAGGTGGCGAGGAGGGTGTCACGATGGACATTTAATAAGGAAATACACACACACACACACACACACACACACACACACACACACACACACACACACACAAAACGCTGTACAGTAGATCGACTTGACACTTTTTTGTATCAAACCTTGTCTTATAGTGAAGTGTGTCATGTGCTTAGACTGTTAAAAGACAGTTGAAGGCCACATGTACAATTTTGGTTTGTCTGTATTTCATGTCTTTTTTTTCCCCTCCATCAGCTGTACAGTAAAAAGATCCATGCAGGAGGGGACTTGTATCATATGAAAAGAACTCATTTGGAGTTGGTCTTTTGAGTTCCTCCTCCTTCTGTGTACATTCTGTGTATTAAAGTGTCGAAAAATGAAACCTTACAGATTCACACTTGAAATCATTGGTTTCAAAGAAAAATCCTGTACACATCTAAGTGGACTGACTGTTCCTCTGAATTCTGGTGTTTGTAGATAAATGTCCAATGTACCTACCGTATTTGACTTCCTGATTGCTTTTTTTTTTCTTTTTGGACAGTCTAAAAACCTTAATGCAAGTGTAAAAAAAAGCTTAAAGTAGAAGTCAGAACATTTTCGTTATTGATGTTCTGTGCCCCCCCCCCCCCCCCCCGGCGGACTGCGTGCTTTTTTTTTTTTTGGCGTTTGTGAAATATGAATTAAGCATTAAAAAATCCACTCGTTTTTATTCATCTCATGGAGTGGCCATCTTCCTTTGAACTGCTACTTGCTATCGACTAAAAATGACATCAGAGAGCCTAAGGGCTTAGGTAATGACCAATCACAGCTCACCTGTTTTCTGATTTGGACAAGATTTGCCTGCAGGATGAGCCCTTGGACACTGTGATGTCATTTTCAGTCGACAGCGAGTGGCAGTAAAAAGCAAAATGGCCGCCCCCTGAGATGGATAAAAACAGGTGGATTTTTCTGATCAATTCATATTCCACAAATGCAATATTAATCAGAATACCTTGTTTAGACTAGTGGAGTGTATAGAAGATATTATTGTAAGGATTTTTATTTTTTTTAACTTTACCTCATGTAGCTTCATGTCAGAAAAATATGTTCAATCGTCACCAAAATAAATGATTTCATCTGTACTTATGCCCATATCAAACTCTGCAAAAATTAGATCGATCGCCTCGATATTTTAGATTTTCAGGGCGTTAAGCGTTTTCTTCATGAAGCAACATCTAAGTTTCTTTTGTGAGTGCCTACCAAGAGGGAAAAGGCTTAACATCCATAAAATCCAAAACATTGGGCAATCGTTTTCATATTTTCAAAGGTTGAAGTGGGCATGAATAGAGAACTGCGCATGAATTAGGGTGACGATTGATCACCGTTTTCAAACATTATGCATTTTTACATTTAAGCATTTTAGACTGTCCCCTATTTTCCTTTTAGATTTGTTCCAAAGGAGCCCTGTGCTGTGTATACTGGAAGTCCAAACGTTAATTTTTTGGGGAGGTGGGGGGTTACTTTAATCGCCAATGATTCCATTGTCAACTTATGGCATTAAAGTTGATTTAAACTTCACCAGAGTTTGTCTGGGTTCACATTCGTCACCTGCATTGTTATTTATTTATTAATTTTATTCCCACAAGGGCGTCTCGGCAGACTAAACAGCGTTTTCACAAATGCATGTTAGCGAAGCTTCTAATAGCCAATACATCTGTGTCCGCAGGCGTGTGATACCAGAGGTACACCTCAGGGAGCACATCCATTCTGCTGGGGCCGCGGGCGACAGGCTTCTTTTCATTGGCTTCCATTACTCTTATCTGATCAGGGCCAGGTATCCTCTCCTCCGCCATCAAGATACTCCCAGGTCGCCCTGACCGACAGGGCCCGCATCCTTCCATCAGCACACGCTTTTATCACTCGCACTTAAACATCACGCCCAACATGAAGGCTAATTTTCCAATGTCATACTGTATATCCGAGGGACACAAGTAAACATTCACCATCCAAAGTTAAGAGGAATTGTGCTTGCATCAGTGCTGGAATTTGAGAGAAGCACACTAAATTCATGGAGGCACAAGTGCCTCTCAAAAAAGTAGAATGTTCTCTAAAAGTTCTTCATTCAATTATAAAAGTGTAATATAAACAGATAGATGAGTAGGAAACTACCTGGTACTCTGAAGTGGGCTTTCCCAATTCCAATATCCGTTTGATTTGATTCTGAAATCTGTTCAGGATTTTTTTTTTTTATTGGTTTTTAGAATTAATCACATTCAAACTTGTGAAAAGATGGGTCAGAACACACCTGTGGATGATGAAAAGGAAAGTAGGATTTGATCACACACTTTACAGGGGCAGCAGGTGGACACATCTAGGTTGCCATCCACTTTGAAGACGTTAGCTTTTACATCACGTGGAACAAGTTCACGTTGGCCCGCTTACATCAGGGTTCCCACTCTTCCACTTGCTTTTTATTTACGGACCTTTTAAGGACATTTGAGGGCTAATTTAGGACTTTTTCTCCATTCAGCAGGGGATTCACGGTGGATTTAATGAACAGAAAGCCACATATCACTGAGCAGGTGTTCAATTCATTGCTGCCAAAGGAAGGGCACATCTTTATTTTTAGGGGCAAACAGCTCACCCTTTATTTGACATACTGTTTGTCAAATTGGCCCGAAATGACCCGAAGTGATCACTTTATCATCATCAGAACTAATCGGAGAAGGCATGTAGCCCATAAGCGGGGTTTGAGGGGAAGGGTACCAGGTGCATTTCCCAACAAAACGATTAATCGGAAGGGTGGGGAAAATGACATGCAAATTAAATGAACACCACAGGTTAATTTTTAAGGCTTTTTATTGATTTTAGAAGCTTTCTCTAAAAATTAAGGACAATTAAGAACATAGTTTTACAACTTATTTATATTACAAAACGTCTTACTATACATGGTCCTTTTTTCGGCCCAAAACGCCTGAACAAACATGGTCCTTTTTTTCGTCTTAAAACGCCTTACAATACATGGTTGTTTTTTTCAACCCAAAACGCCTTACTATACATGGTGGGCCTTTTTTTTCGGCACAGAACGCCTTACAATACATGGATGTTTTTTTTCGGCCAAAAACGCCTTACAGTACATGGTGATTTTTTTCGGCCCGAAACGCCTGACTGTACATGGTCGTTTCTTTTCGGCCAAAAACGCCTAACTATATATGGTCGTTTTTTTTCGGCCAAAAAAGCCTTCCTATACATGGTCGTTTTTTCGGCTAAAAATGCCTTACAAAACATGGTCGTTTTTTTCGGCCCAAAACGTCTTCCTATACATGGTCGTTTTTTTCGGACAAAAACATCTTCCTATACATGGTCCTTTTTTTCGGTCCAAAACGCTTTACTATACATGGTCGTTTTTTTTTGGCCCAAAACGCCTTACTATTCATTGTCGTTTTTTTTCGGCCCAAAACGCCTGACTATACATGGTCGTTTTTTTAGGCCTAAAATGCCTTACCATACGTGGTTGTTTTTTTCGGCCCAAAACGCCTTACTATTCATGGTCGTTTTTTTTCGGCCAAAAACACCTTACCAAACATGGTAATTTTTTTTCGGCCCAAAACGCCTTACTATACATGGTCGTTTTTTTCGGCCCAAAACGCCTTACAAAACATGGTCGTTTTTGTTCGGCCCAAAACGACTTACTATACATGGTCGTTTTTTTCGGCCCAAAACGCCTCACTATACATGGTCGTTTTTTTCGGCCCAAAACGCCTTCCTAAACATGGTCGTTTTTTTCGGCCCAAAACGCCTCACTATACATGGTCGTTTTTTTCGGCCCAAAACGCCTTATTATACATGGTCGTTTTTTTAGGCCCAAAACGCCTGACTATACATGGTCGTTTTTTTCGGCTAAAAATGCCTTACAAAACATGGTCGTTTTTTTCGGCCCAAAACGCCTTACTATACATGGTTGTTTTTTTCGGCCCAAAACGCCTTACTATTCATGGTCATTTTTTTTCGGCCAAAAACGCCTTACCAAACTTGGTCGTTTTTTTTCAGCCCAAAACGCCTCACTATACATGGTCGTTTTTTTCAGCCCAAAACGGCTTACTATACATAGTCGTTTTTTTTTCGGGCAAAAAAGCCTTCCTGTACATGGTCGTTTTTTTCAGCACAAAACGCCTTACTATACATGGTCTTTTTTTTCGACTAATACGCCTTATTATATATATGGTCATTTTTTTCGGCCCAAAACGCCTTACAACACATGGTTGTTTTTTTTCGACTCAAAACGCTTTACTATACATGGTCGCTTTTTTCGGCCCAAAACGCCTTACTATACATGGTTGTTTTTTTCGGCCCAAAACGCCTTATTATACATGGTCGTTTTTTTCGGCCCAAAACGCCTTACCAAACATGGTCCTTTTTTTTGGCCCGAAAGGCCTTACTATACATGGTCGTTTTTTTTTCGGCTAAAAATGCCTTACTATACATGTTTGTTTTTTTCAGCACAAAACGCCTTACTATACAGGGTTGTTTTTTTCGGCCCCTAAACGCCTTGTCAAACATGGTCCTTTTTTTTGGCACAAAACGCCTTCCTATAGATGGTCGTTTTTTTTTTTCGGCTAAAAAACCCTTACTGTACATGGTTGTTTTTTTCAACACAAAACGCCTTCCTATACATGGTCGTTTTTTTCGGCCAAAAACCCCTTACTGTACATGGTCGTTTTTTTTTCGGCCCAAAACGGCTTACTATACATGGTTGTTTTTTTCGGCCAAAAATGCCTTATTATACATAGTCGTTTTTTTCAGCCCAAAACGCCTTCCTTCCTTTACATGGTTGTTTTTTTCGGCCTAAAACGCCTTACTATACATGGTTGTTTTTTTCGGCCTAAAACGCCTTACTATACATGGTTGTTTTTTTCAGCTCAAAACGTCTTACTGTACATGGTCGTTTTTTTTCGGCCAAAAACGCCGGACCAATCATGGTCGTTTTTTTCTGCCCAAAACACCTTACTATACATGGTTGTTTTTTTCAGCACAAAACGTCTTACTGTACATGGTCGTTTTTTTCAGCCCAA